TTTGTGGTGTATAGACTGGCGGAAGGCAGCACTGAAGGGGGAGTTCATAAATGATTGAGGACAGATCATTGGAACAAACAGCTACTCCGATGGCTGAATATTCTGGAACAAGGGGTCATTAGTTAAAGTATTTAAAGACACATTGGCTCACTTAACAATGACTGAACCCCTATTACGGACCAGACAATGGGGATGTGATGTCCTAAAAAACACATTATCTTTCCTCCATGCAGTCTACATCCTGGTGGGGGGAGATGTCAAATAGCATGATGTAACTGTCATAAGCAATAGTCCTTTTAAAAAAAGTAGAGCGAGGAGATAGAAAATGTTGGCATGTTATTTTAAAGAAGATAATACAGCCCTTGTAATATATCTTTATTTTATTTCCTTTTGGAAAGAAATCACAAGACTCAGATTCTACCATAAGTTGCTTTCTGAAAGGGACATGGTATCTTTCCCTGAAGTATATTTTGCAGAATACTAGTATTTGTTATATATATATTTTAAATGTGTATGTGTTGAGGGGGGTCCCATAGTTAAAGTATGGAGAAACTTGGGTAAAACAAAGTTAATCAGGTCTTTACTGAAGGTTTTCTCAGAACCTTTAATATTCAAATATGAACTATAAATATTCGTGAAGGGAGATTATAATATGCAGAGTTTTCCAAACCTTTTTCTCCTGAGAATCCTTTCAACTTGGAGCATCTCAAGCAAGTGACTCTGTATGTACGCACTGTGGGAACTTCTGTCCTAGAATTCTCATGCAGCAGGAGACCTGGACGCATCAGAGAGGTTCTGTTACTTGGGCAAGAAGAGGAGGCGGTGGAAGCAGCCTCAGCTTAATAAATATCCCTCCAGTGTGTGAGCCAGGCAGGGTGCCCGGTGCTTTAGACACGTTCTTGCGTGTAAGCCTCACAGCAGCAATGAGAACGGGTGTTATTATAGCTCCCCTTTACGGGGGGAAAACCACTGTCAGAAAGGACAGATACGTAGCCAAACATCAGGATCTGAACTCCCAAACCCAAACCATCAAAACCCATGACACTGTATTATCTAAATGATGGTGGATGCAACCCAACCAGCAAACTGTCTTCCCATGAGTCCATCTACATGGATTCTGTTGCTGTTAATCTTCACTCGAGAATATTTTCTTCCATTGATTTTTAGAGAGAGTGGATGGGAGGACGGAAGGGGGTGGGAGAGAGAGAGAGACAGAGAGAGAGAGAGAGAGAGAGAGACAGAGAGACAGAGAGAGAGAGAAACATTGATGTGAGAGAGACATATCAATTGGTTGCCTCCCAAACTCACCCCGACCAGGGCCAGGGATCAGACCTGCAACCCAAGTACCGGCCCTTGACTGGGAATTGAGCCTGTCACCCTTCAGCACATGGGTCCATGCTCTATCCACTGAGTCACACTGGCCAGGACCATCTACATATACCCTTAAACTCCATGTTCTTCAGGGGTGATTTCTAGTTCTGTGTTGTGTCAAGTGTTTGTCACTTCATCTCATGCAGGCCATGGATCTGGATCTCGGTAAGTTCAGGGAGCCTGGGTCATGGTCACAGGGCCCTGTCCACATATGCTCACTAGGCAGTAGGTGGGGTCAGATGGCTGTGACAACCCTGAGTGGCCCTGTCCCATTCACTTCTTTCTCTTTTCCTGGCATTTTCTCCCTGTTCTCCCCTCCCTGTAGCCACGTGTCTCATTCTCTTCCATCTGCTGAAGCCACTGGAACCCAAGGGCCCAGATACATGCCAGCACTTCTGCCAGGGCACACACAGGGCACCCATACCTGAGAGGGCTGCAGTGGCCAAAAGCTGGTGGTGCAGTTAGTTCTGTGAAGGGGTGTGGGATGTGGAAAGGTGCTTGCTGACTCTAGGTGGAGTTCCGCCTAGTACTTGGAGGGAGAAAATGGGGAATTTCTGTATTTACTGGAAAGAGCAAAGGCATAACTTTCAGGAAAAGATCTGAGACAGATTTGTTTTTTCTTCCACTGTCCTCACCTTCCTCTCATGAGACTGCTGCGGAATTTGGTAAGGATTAGTCACTCCTGTTAATTCGTTACTAATTTGGTTAGAGGGAAACTGGCCTTTTTAAAAGCTTTATGCTCAGAAACTCAGGTGTTCTGAAACTGAACTCACTGTTTTCCCTCTCCATATATACTCTTCCTGGGCCCTCTGTCTCCACACATGGCCTTGTCCCCTTCTTGGCCCTCAGGCTGGAACACTGCCCCATTTCTTCTCGAATCAGGGATGGCTTTGTCAACTCAACCTCTGCAAGAGCGCCTGATCTGCACCCTCCCCAAATCCCCACTGCCCCAGCCTTTGGTCCAACCCTCATTGTGTCTCCCTGAGGCTGTTAAGATGGCCCTCACTCCTCCACTGAATGCTGTCCTTAATGCCAGCCATGTGCCAAGCCATTAAGACCCCTCTGTGCAGAAGTCAGCAACAGGGTGCTGGGATTTTTAGAAGCAACCTTGAACTAGACTCATAACTGAGCCCCATGCTGGGCATCGGGACCCCTAAAGGGGGAGGAAGAATTATCCAGACAAATTAGGGGAAGATGATTTTGTGCAGATTTTGAGCAACTACACACACAGTGAATGTGCTGTGGGGAACTTGAGTAGTATGACCTTGAAGAAGTTTGAAGGGCAAGGTGTGTGGCAGCAAGTGTGGCAACTACCTAGTGCTGTGTAACAAAGTGACCCCGAACTTAGTGCTTAAACCAATGACGGCATTTAGTTTGCTCACCAATCTGCCATCTCTCTAAGGCTCGGTGGGGATAGGTCATGTCTACTCCACTTGGCACTGCAGGCTGGGGCTGGAATCCTCCGAAGGCTCGCTTAGTAACATGATGCTGGCTGCAGGCTGAATCTAGCTGGAGTTGTCAGCTGGAACACCCACCTGTGGCCTTTCCACCTGTAGGAAGAACTGGGCTCCTTACAATGTGATGTCTGTGTTCTAAGGGTCCCAAGAGAGAAAGAGCAGGTAGATTTTCTATCAGCTTTCAGGCCTGAGCCTCAGAGGTCACACAGTATCATTTCTGTTTTGTTTTCCTCATTAGAAGCATGCAGCTAAGACTGCCCATATTGAAGGGGAGGGAACAGAGACCCCATCAACGTCACTATCACATTGTAAGAGGTGTATGTGGGACAGGAGATAATGGTGTAGCCATCTTTGTAAAATACAGTCAGCCACAACCTTATGGAGCCAGAGTCAGCCATAAGGTCTTAGATACCATGCCGAGGGCATTAGTTTTTATCTTGTAGGAAGTGAGGAGCCAGTGAGAGATGTCAGTTTGTATGTCACTTGCTCACGTTTGTGTTTGAGGAAGCTCTTCCTGGGGTAGGGGATAGAAGGCTTGACAAGGCTGTTGCAGTAATCCGGAGAGAGAGAAGAGGGCATGAGGCAAGGCATGGCATGGGGATGAAGGGCAGGTCAAGGCTGAGACGCCAGGAAGAAGTCACAGGGCTTGGCAACAGCACCAAATGCCAGGGGGTGAGAAATAGGGGCGTCTAGGAGGATTTTCAGTTTCTGGCTTGGGAACTGAGTGACAGTGATGGGGAATGAAGGAAAAACAGGAGAGGTTTGTGGGGGAAGACATTATGCCCTATTTGGAAAGTGATTAGTCTAAAGGGTCTCAGAGTATCCACGTGGACACATCCAGCAGACAGAGTTTTGGGGGCATTAGCCTTTAGGGGGATGGTCAGAAAAAGAGGATCTGGCAAGGCATTCAAGATCCAATTGCCTCTTTCCTGGATTTGGCCTGGGCCAGGGATTCAGGGCTTGAGCATGCTCAGATGCCCTGTGTGCATGGAAAACAGTCTGACTTGGGCAAACCCAGTTACTCTCCCCTTCACTCCCTGTTGGGAGCCCCAGGCTGGCCTCACAAAGGCTCTGCCCTGGCAGGTAGGAGAGGAAATGTCAGCTCTGATCCCATAGCCTGGAGCAGGGCCCCTTCAGAGGGGGCAGGATTAGCTTTGGGAGGAAACAGAAATGGAAGTGGAGCCCCTGTTGCTCTCCTGAGGCGCCAGGCCTTCAATTAAGAGAGGAACTTTGGCAGACTATGAAACGTAACGGCACCCCACCCTTCCCTGGAAGAAAAGTGCAGTCTCCAGAAGGGGCACCTTCCAGGGGGCTCAGGGATGTACAACTCCTGGCTCTGAGCCTGCTGTGGCCCCACCCAACAGCCAAGAACCCAGGAGGGCCTGGAGTTCAGCCTGGAGCTCAGCCTGGAGCTGATTCCAGATGCCACAAACTCCTTTCCACTCTCCCTGCTGTGTATCTGTCCCCATCAACTGCAGAATTCACATTTACTCATACCCACATGACGGATATGGGGCAGGATGGGATGCAGAGACGGTGGCCTAGGCCTTCCCCAGGCCCTTATCACCCATCCAGGGAAAAAGCCAGTACAATCACAGATATCACAGATAGGAAGTGATAAGAAGCTTAAGGACATTTATTAAAACCAGGTACCTATCTTGGGCACCTATCATGGTGAGTCATTGGGGTATTAGAGGTGGGCCTTGGTGGACAGGTGTTGTAGGAGTCAGGGGAATGGAGGACAGGTCAGGAGGAGTGGAATATTGTGGCCTAGGGTGTGATAGTGCCCTGGGAATGGCCTGACTTGGCTGAAGAATGACCTCAGCCCTCAAAGTACAGGAGAGACAGAACAGCAGCCTGCAGGGCACTGTGATGTCAGAAAACAAGTCAAGTGATGTGGCTGATTAGTCAGGCCTTTCCCAGAGGGTGCTCCTCTACCTCGGTAGTTGACGGGGCCATTATGGCATCAGTGCTAAGAATGGCAGGGATGGATAGCTGATAACGCACTGAGTGAGTCCAGGGGCACCCTGATATAATAACTATGATGGCATTTCACCCTCAGACCACCTGAGGAAATCATTGTTTCTAAGTAACAGGTGAGAAAACAGAGAAGAAACAGAGTGGAAGGCCCAGGTGGGCAGCCAGGTCTCATGAGTCAAGGTGTCTCCCCAGGTGTTCGTGCTCTGCCATGGCCTCCTGCAGCTCTCCCAGCTCCTGTACAGCGCCTACTTCAAGAGCAGCCTCACCACCATCGAGAGGCGCTTTGGTCTCTCCAGTTCCTCCTCAGGTCTCATTTCCAGCTTGAATGAGGTAAGCAGGAGGTTCTGGTCCATCAGACCCACTGGTGCACCCTGGTTGCAGGGCCTGGGAGGGAGCTCTAGGAAGAACAGAGCAATGGGGAGCTAGGATAGACACATGGGGAAAGGAGACAGCCAGATTCAATGGGCATGGTGGAAGCAGCAACGTTTCCTGACGCCTCCTGGCACCAGGCACTGAGAGCCTCTGGTGGCTCCAGGTAAGGAGCTGGGATTCCCAGGCTGAACTTCTCTCTTCTTTTTCCATGAGACCCACTATTCTGGATGAGCTCACCAAGATGACAGCAGAGGTACAGGGACTGAGCTCTGAGAGTTGAGAGTCCAGAGAGGTGAGGAAGAACCAGCCAAAAAGACTGAGAAGGAGCAGCCAGGGAAAGGAAACTAAGAGGAGGTGGTGTCATGGAAACCCAGTGAAGGAAGTGTTGCAGGAAGAAAGAAATGGTGCACTGAGTCAAATGGTGCTGAGAGGTCAAGTAAGAAGGGAACTGAGAACAGACCAGTGAATCTGACAATTAGGAGGTTGTTGGTGATCTTGGCAGGAAACAAGTACCAAGACTCTGGCCCTTATTTCCTGAGACAGGTCACCTGCTTTTCCGGCCAGGAGGAGACTTTGGTGTGGACAGGAAGGGACTATGGGTGCTGACATTCAGGGCTCCTCGAGTCCAGGTGAACGTATGTTCTGGGGCAGAGGGTCATGTCTTTGGATGCAGTTATAGTCAGAGATCTGCCAGCACCCCCTTTTGCCATTTGTGACCTTGCTCCCCAAGCTGGGGCCTTTGGTTCCCTTCCCTGGCTCTGGGTGGGGCTCAGAGAGCACACCTTCCAAGGAGCACCAGAAACATGGAGTTACTGGTGTGTCCAACTGAGAAAGAACTTAAGGGCGCTTTAGTCCTGGTCGCTCATTGACGGAAGTGGAAGCAGGCCCAGGGAGGGCCAGAGGCAGGTTAATAGTGGAGCTGCTAGGACAGAAACCCACTCCTCCAAGAAGCAGTAGACTAGTTTGGTTAAAACTTAGACAGTATCTGTTCAAGCCACCTCCAAAGCTTGAGGACCTGGACAAGTTACTGGATATCCGAGCCCCAGTTCTGCCATCTGTGTGATGAGAGGAGATGATGTGTGTTGCCTGGCGGGTATTCTGACTACCAAGCCCAGGTCCTCAGGGAGTTAGTTAGGCAACATGTGCTGTTTCCAGGGCCAGCTAGAACGGGAGGCATGCTTGGATTTTGCCCCAAAGGGTTTGGTCGTAAGATGGTTGAAATTAAGGCTGTGAGTTTTTCATTGTCTCTGGATCCTTCCCTTGGCTTAGCCTTGAAGGCTGAGGCTGGGAAGGGTTTCTGATAGCAGGGGCAGGTTGACACTGCGTGTACTTGGCCCGCTGAGAGGCTCTCTGGGCAAAGCTGACCCTGGGACTCTGCCTGGGCCCGGGCTGATACTGGGCAGCCTCTTCCCTCTCTGCTTTTCCTGGGCAAGGTCCAGTCAGGTTTCCACTGTGGGTGAGTAGAGATGGAGTCTCCGGTCTCACTCGGCTCCTCTGCTCTCTCCACAGATCAGCAACGCCATCCTCATCATCTTCGTCAGCTACTTTGGCAGCCGGGTGCACCGTCCTAGGCTGATCGGCATTGGGGGTCTCCTCCTAGCTTCGGGTGCCTTCATCCTCACGCTCCCACACTTCCTCTCAGAGCCCTACCAGTACACCGTGGCCAGCGCCGGTAAGTGGCCTGCACCCCCTGCCCCAAGGGGTTAAGGAATGAGAGGCATCTCCCCGAGCTGGTGACGGTGTCCCTGGGGCAGTGGATACCACGCTGAGCCATGCCCTCCTCTCCCACTAGAAAGTTTCCTTGGATTTTATTGTTTTGTTTCTCCCCAAAGCACACCTGAAAGTCAGAACATGCAGAATTATGTGGAGCCAGGAGGCAGCTATCCAGCTCTAGTTTGCTGAGGAGGAAGAGTGCAGCAGGTGGCTCCCCTCTCCTGTGATCCTCTGGGATTCCTTGTGCTTCATGCCAGGGACGGTCCATTTCACACAAGTGGAGACTCTTGTGAGCGGTGCCTGTGATGGGCTTGGCAGGGTGAGGGTCAAAGCATTGACCATGATGAGGTCTGTGGAATTTCTCCTTGTTTGATCACGTGTTTAACACATCCAGACATTGGTATATTTGCTCACTGTACTTCAGGTTATAATACACGATGACCTTGTTTGATTCCCCTGGACACCTGTGAAGGGGAGAGAAGAGGTCTAAGATGAGTATGTGGCACTCGAAGATGTCTAGTAACTTTCCCAAGGACACCAGCCCATTAGGGAGAGACAGACTCAGGCTTCCTGATTCTTAGACAAGTGGCCATTTTGTGTCACAAGCCTCTGGTTCTTGGTGATGTGCCCTGTGGCATAAGTCTTACAATTAGGTAGTGTGACTCCTCCAACTTTTTCTTCTTTATCAAAACTGTTCTATCTATTCTTACTCATTTGCCTTTCAGTATAAATTTTAAAATCAGCTTGTCTGTAGCTTTATAAATCCTTCTAGAATGTTTATTAGAATTGCATTAAATTCATAGATCAAGTTGGGGAGAATTAACATGTTTACTAGGTTGAATCTGCCAGGCCGTGAGCACAGTCTGCCTTCCCATTACCCTTACATTTTAACATTAACCTATGATTTAACAAACTCTAAAATTGATAAATGCCTTTATTCTCCAACAGAACAAAATAGCGCCCACCATCCTTTCCCATCTTCCATGTATTGTTGATTAGTATTTTTAGTCCACCTTTCTTTAACCTCCCTCCAATTGTCATTATTATTATAGTCATTATTTATAAATAAGTCAGAGCTTATTTATACTTACCCACAAGTTTATGGGTTTCTTTGCTCACCATTGCTTCTTGCATTTCACTCACCCTTGTTGATTTAATTTCCTTTGTCCTGAGGCAGATCCTTTAGTTTTACTCTCAGGTTGGGCCCATGAGTAAAAAAATCTCTAAGTCTGTGTCTGAAAATGTCTTAATTTTACCCTTGCTACAAACAGGATTTATTTTAATTATTTCCTCTTAGCACTTTGAAGGTACCATGCCTCTGTCTTCTGGCTTCTCCTGCTATTGGAACTTCTCCATCAGTCTAATTGGTTTCCTTTTCTAGGTACTCTGTTGTTTTTCTTCTTCCTCTCTAATTGTGTTTAAGATTTTCTCTCTTCTTTGTTGTTTTGCACATCCACCATCAAGTGTGTAAGTATGGGTTAATTGTCGCTTATCTTTGGAAGTCCCATGTGCTATTTCTTTTGAAGATTAAGGGGTTTTTTTCACTTCTGAAAATTTCTCAGCCAAAAATGTTCCCAATATTACATATCCATATTTTCTCCATTCTTTCTTTTAGAACTTCATATATATATATATATATATATATATATGACATTTTTATTTCTAGCCTCCTTGTCTCTTAACTTCTCTTTCATAGTTTCTAGTGCTTTATTCATCTGTGCTGCATCCTTGGTGACTTCCTCAGGTACGCCTTCCTGCTTACTTAGTCTCTCTCTAGCTATGTTAATCTGATATCTAAGCCACCCTTTACATTGCAAATTTTAATGGCTCTATATAGTTTGTTAATCTCTAAAAGTTATTGTAATAGTCCTAACCTCTCTGTCTTAGTTGCATGATTTCTTGGTATGTCCTTATGATTTCTGTTTTTCCTTTGGTCTCCTTAATTATTTTAAATATATTTACTTTATAGACTTTTTCCAATTATTCTTTTAGCTCAAGTTTTGAGAATGCTAATCTTCCCAGTGCTTTGTGTCTGCTTGCTCTTCTTCTTCGTGGTAGATTATTTCCTTGTATATTCTATGATATTTGACCATGGGTTCATTTGCAAAGGGATTCCCACCCCCACCCCACCCCCCGTAGAAATTTTGTGTGGTCTGGGTTGGGAAATAGCCTTACAGAATTGTTTTGCATTTGCATATTCGGAACCCCCAAGAGCATCACTGCTTTGGAACTCATTTTATGATAATTTATTGGCTTGGGATAAATTTGCATTTGTTTTAAGGGATACAGAAAGTGGCAGTGGTTTTGTGATGAGCAGCAGTGAGAGGCCCAGTTTGTTAATGTCCTTCCTTAGTCCACTGTATTGGAGCTGAAGATGTCTGAGGATAAATGAGCTACCCAGGGATGTGCTGAGGCAATAATTGATCCTTGTGTGTGTAAGTTCCAGACTTAAAAAAAAAAAGTCAGATGCACAAATCAGGCTGAAGAGATAAAGCACTTAGAACAGTAAAAGGGATTCCTTTGTAGGTTGTGAGACCTATAGTGGGGACAGATAGGTGACTGGAATGGAAAAAGATGCAGCGAGAACAAGGATGTCTAGGTATGAACTGTCTATTGGGGTCTGGTCATGGGAACTTTCTCTCCACCTCTCTGTAAATCGCCTGTGAATAGTCATTTCTCACAAATGCACTGTGGCCTTGGATCCTTCTGGACTGTTTAAGGGCTGAATCTTGCTTCAAGTAGGCACAGGGGGAAGACAGTCCTGAGCCTAGAGGTCTGCCATGCTCTTTCTCCCCTTCAGTTTAGACCGAGGGCATGAGGCCAGCTCTAAAGGAGAGTCAGGAATTGCTGGCCACCTTCTCAGAGAGGGTGGCAAGCCCACTGCACTACTGTCTTTCTAGAACCAAGGTCCTTGCCTGTCTCCATTAGCATGAAGACTAGAATAATGAAATCAGCAAGGGAGCTTAGGGCACTTTTGGCCAAGCCAAGGGCAGGGCATCCTGCCAGGTGCCACACATGGTGGCCTGCTTAGCCTGGTGAGTTGTTTCCCCACAGCCATGGCCACATCCCAATGGCATTTGCTTCACACAGAGCAGCTACTACAGAGGGTGGTTAGAGATGGGGTGGGCTTCTGAAAGCAGTCATTCTGCTCCTTGTTAGGGATGGTTCCACATGATCAGCCCACCTGATCTTCCCCACTCTCCATCATTCCTGCCTTGACCTCAGTGCTCGGAGCCAAACTCCACTGAGAGAGAAACCCAAGGGGACTTTGTAGGGGGCCATGGCTTGCGTCTCAAGCCTGCAGGGAGGAACCACTAGCCAGGAAAGTGAACATTTTTGCTGTTGCTCATTTGGTTTGTGTAAATTCTGTTTGCAACAATAGGACACAGCAGTCCCTGTCACTTTGGGGTCAGATCAGCAACTGGAAATGCTAGGGTTGAGCTACCTTCAGGACATCTTCCTGGTGCCAGCAGCTGGCATGAGGAGGACCTTGGCCTAGGAGTCATATCTGTGGGATGTAGTTGGGGCTGTGCACCGGGTGCCAGGGCAACATGGGTGTGTGCTCTGCTAATATGTACCAAAAAAAAAACCATACAGTCTCACTTCAGGGGAAAAGTTTGAAATGCAACTCCCACTTCAAATATAGTACCCTGGGAACTTGAGTTTTGAATTATGCAAGGTTATCAGAAACAAATGCATTTCATTAAAAGCACCACCCTGAATGGCGTCATGGCTCTAAACGGTCTTCTGGAGTCAGGCGGTCCTGGTCTGAATCTGGACATTGCGATTCCCCAATGGTGCGACCTTGGCCACCTTGATCGCAGCCCTGATTCTCAGTTCCTCCCTGTATGAGATGCCTCC